AACTCAATTGTATAACATATAGTTAAATACCACTCATACTTACGCAAACGTATGATTGTGAATCCTGCACGTGGTCCCTTCCACTTCCGCGCACCTTCCAAGATCATTTACAAAACCATTCGTGGTATGATTCCGCATAAAACTTCACGTGGTGCAGCCGCTCTAGGTCGCCTCAAGATTTTCGAAGGAATACCACCTCCATATGACAAACAAAAGCGTATGGTTGTTCCTGCTGCATTAAAAGTTTTACGTCTTAAACCTGGTCGTAAATATACTACAATTTCCCGTCTTTCATCTGAAGTTGGTTGGAAATACGGAAATATTGTTAAGAAACTTGAAGATAAACGTAAAGTCAAGAGTAAAGAATTTTATGAACGTAAGAAGAAACAAGCTAGGTTACAAGCTCAGGCTTTAAAGAATAAGTCTACTGAGTTGAAAGACATTCAACAAACGATTTCGAGTTTTGGTTATTAAATATTAAATCTTGTAGAGTGGTAGAAAATTATGCATATTCTGAGAATTATTTGCAAATAAAAAAAAAAAATTTGGATGTCCATTGATAGGTTTCGAGTTATGCAATAATTAGCAATTTGTTTATTGAATATTTATTCTTCAAACATTCGATCCAGTATTTGAATGTCGTAAAGCACCTGTAACTTTGATTTTCGGAAATTTCATGAGCTTACCAGATTTTGATAAGCTCGTTTCTGTAAATGAAATTTCCGAAAATCAACAATTACAAATTACAGGTTTTTTGTTTTGCGACACTCATTTTATTAAAGTGATATTTGTAACGCGACAATAGTAGTACATAACATAATAATTTTTTATTAACCCGTGCGACTAAATAACAATTAATAATAATAATTAAATATATACTATGTTTAAAAAAAATAACTATGTTCTGAGGATTAATTATATTTTTTTTTATCCAATTCGTTCTCCGATCAAATTTTGTTTCCTAAACATTTGTAGTTAGATATTCTTTTATTTAAAATAAAACTACGGATATTTTGCACGGTAATACGTGTGGCTATTCTAGAAATGACCATTTATTCAAAATGGTTAGTTGATCTAGAATTTTGCCAATTATTTTAAAAGTTTTTAAAATAGTGCAATTCTAGAGATGTTTTATTAAATAAGTTGAATTTGCAATAGTTTGTAGCTATAGTATGTTATAATAAAAAATTATATTTAGGTATTTGCATAACTAAGTTGGTTGCAAAGGTTTATCAATAATAAGATTATATATTCATAACTAATTAAAGATTATTTTAAAGTTATTAAAGTTTTATTTTGATTTCAATAATTTTATTAATAAATTTAAAAATATAATATATTTAAATATTTTATTAATATTCTTTAGATTATAAATCAATACAAATACTTTTATTATTATAAATTTAGTTTTGATTTATTATCTTTGTAATAAAAGTTATTATTTAATAAAAATTATCAGGCTACACAAAATTAGTTTTAATAACCCGACCAGATCAAATTTTGGAATTTTAAAAAACCAGGACATTAAATTTGTATTATATGTTTTTAATATACAGTATATAGCTTTTTTTATAATAAATTTGATAAACATATTTAGATAAAAAAATTTAAAAAAATCAGATATATACAGTCTAACCCCACTAAATGCATAGCTAAATGCATAGCCGAGAGACGACTAAAAAATCTTGCATTTAAAGAGGTATTGCATTTAAAGAGATATTGCATTTAAGGAGGTAAAAATCTATAAGTATTATATGAGTTTGGACCAAATAAAGCCATGCATTTAGAAAGGTCTTTCATAAACTATGCATTTAAAAAATATGCATTTAGAAAGGTTTTGACTGTATATATATAAAGTATCTTTTAAATTACAGGCATATTTGTAAAATTGAAAAACAATCTATTATTCTATTTATTCTATTTATTATTATCTTCAATAACAAATATATAATAGTTTGCACAATTAAATTGTTTTAACTAATTAGATTATTCTACAAACTTATTGAAAAAAGATATTGTGAAATATATTCAATAAATAAATATCCGAATATTTATTCAAAAAGTTTTTGAGTATTAAAAAGATTGAACGAATAAAATATTCGGATACAAATTTTTTTTGCCCGAATCAGACTTTTAGCTGTATAATGTACAGGATGTAAGATTTCAATACAGTATAATTGATCACATAACACAATTTCCGGTTTAGATATAGGCTTGAACCGACTTTACGGTTCGAGTCCAGTTTTTATATCCAGTTTTGTATAAACCCGTGCAGTACAAAACGCTAGTAAGAACGCGTCTATGAAACTCTAGAACCTAATCACTGCATCATAATAAATTTATGAAACGAATTAAATTGCGTTTCAAAGCAAGACAAAATTCTAACTACGTATATATATATACGTATACAAGACTTGGCACGGACCAGACAACATCGAATCACATGACCTATTTTACTATAACTCAACTTCTTAATGTCTTTTGATGCTTTAGGTTCCTAAAAACGTGTAATGGATTGAGGATGATTTTTTTTTTATTCAACATATGACAATAAATCGAATAAATTCCATTTGCAAATATAATGTATTTATGCTATCTAAAAAGAAGAAAAAAAAAAGTACTGTACATCAATGCGATTAAAATAAAACGATAGATGCGTTAAAATCTTTATACAAGAAAAAAAAAAAAGAAATATTCGCAATATACATATACGCGATACAGAAGTGAAAAAAAAAATGAAACTACATTATGTTTATATAGTTATAATGAAAAGCAAAATTAATATCTTGCTTTGTTACTTTTTGTCTACGTTAAATTGATTATAAAATAGAACCAATTTTCGTAAATCTAGTATGCATAAAAGAAAAAAACTGTCCAACAAAAAAAATTTTTTTCAAATATTGCTACTTGCTTCATATTCACATCATTATTAATATTATTAATCAGTAATAACCGTTAGGACCACTTCTTTGACCACTACTTAATGGAGGGCCTACATGTGATGGAGGACCAACGGGGCCCACACCATTTGGTTGTATATTATGAGGATGTGCACTACCATATCCTGTAGGTTGATCTCTTAAAAAGCTTGTTAAAGGTTGCCTTAGAATTTCACTATTTGATGGACCAACAAGTTCGGGGGGTTGCGAATTATGATGATGAGATCCTACTGGTGGTAAGCGAGACCCATTCTGCTGCGAAACTAAACCTTGTTGAGAACTATGATAATGATTCATCGCTGGGGACTGCGGCGGTATTAGTGGGGGTGGTACGGGAGAAGATTTGCCATTATATAAATGAGAAGGAGGTCCCTGTGCAGGAAGAGGTTGAGATATATATGAAGATTGACTTGAATGTGGTTGGTGATAATGATGCCCTTGATGTGCATGAGGATGATGAGTGTGATTTTGGTGTGCTTGATGTTCTTGAGGATAATGAACATGGTGTGGATTAGTAGGATGATGATGATGATGATGATGCAATGGTTGTGAATGAGAAGGTGATGACTGAATTGGAGGTAGAGTCGTCGGTTGTTGGCGAGGTACACTCCCTGAACGAGATAAAGGAGACGGTGGAGTTCGATGCTGAGGATCAGGATGAATATTTGGCATAGATTGATTATGCCTAATAGAATGACTCTGTTGTTGAATATGATTATTAGGTAATAAACTAGGAGAAGTACGATGAGAACCAATTGGTCGATGTGAAGTATGCGGTGGTTGAGGTTCCTGTACTGGAGGCCCATGGGGAGGGTAACCACGAGCCGAAGGACTTGGTTGTGAATACATTGTAGAATCCGAAACACGACGAGGTGGCACGCTTGAAGGATTCGCCTGTAGTAAATAAATGAATTAGAAAATAAATTAATATTTATGCATATACATATATATATGTGTGTATATATATGCATATATATATGTGTATATACATACACACATATTATACACACATGTATATATGTGTATATATAAAACATTTTCAACGTAAAGTGACACAATACCTCAGGGTGTATATATCCAGGATTATTCGGTTGCAATGGTTGCAATGGAGGATACCCTGGATGATCCACACGGGGAGGGTGCATACCAGTTCCATTCATTGTATGATGATGATGAATCATTGATGGATTTACAAGTCCATTTTCATTATTCATTGGCGGAGAATTATCAGACAATATTGAAGGGCGATTAGGAGGTATCATATTGTTTGGAGGTGAAATGTAGTCTTTCCTATCGTTGCCGTTATCTTGAAGCGACTACAGAGTTCAATGTAAATCAAACGGATGTGCATAGAAAAAAAAAGATTACAATTTTAGTAAATTGTGCACATACAAATTTGAATAATATAATTTCTCACTAATAAAATTATATAAGGAATTTATGGTAAAGAATTACGGACCGTTGTGTAAATCATATACGAAATATAAGCATGCATAGCATTCCGTTTTTTTTTAATATTATGCTTCTGCTGTTGCAAAAATGAATTTATAGATCACGTAACCACACCTCATTATGAAAGGCCAGTTGTAATTAAGATAACTTGATTCACGTACCATCTCATTATACATTCTACAAAAATTAGCATTATTTGAAGGAATTGAAGTTTGTGGGCGCATTTGACCATTTTGTTGAGGTATTGATTGAGTAATAGGCTGATGTGGTGATGATTGTGGTATATCCTATAAATTATAAATTATAAATTATAAATTATAATAATGATTATTTATTATTTATTATAATGATTATGAATTATAATAATTATAAATTATTAAAATTATTGTATTATTTATTTATTAACATTAAATAAACTAACCGGATTGCCAACCATACCACCTACACCAACACCAGGAACATAACCATTTGGAGCATTAATTGGAGGTGGAGAAGGTTTTTTCAAAGGCCTTTCATTTTGAGGGATTATGAAATGATTCTTTATGTTTATTGATTTATCACCAGGCATTGGTGGTGATCCACAATTCTTTTGTTGAAAACGAACAGAATGATCAGCCGGTGGACCATTATGCAAAGATCTTGATTGATGAAATTGTTGTGGTGGCATTTGATGTTCCCAATCTGCCGAATTAGTTGGACCCACTATTTATTAATAATAAATAATTTAGTTTATAACAAATTGAAAGTTTAAAATGATTAAGATTTATTATAATTACGACGAACCTTGTTGAGGCAAATAAATCGACGGTTTTTGATCTTCGGTTGGATGTTCACGTAACTCGGAATACTTTTGACCGCTGGGTGGATAGGGCATTTGATCGGGAGAACGATGATGTATTTTTGGTCTTTGAGCTTATCAAGACACATGAAGAGTCAGGTTGAATTACATTTGAAAGTCAACAAATCGAATCCAATGAAAAAAGCACATACAAGTTTCGTTCGGATCAGATGGTCTTCGTTTCTGCGGGCTCTTTTTTGATGAATAAACTTTTGTATTTATGGGTAAATGCGGTGAACCATTCTAGGAAGTCGAAATCACGTGAGTCTTGGGTAAAAATGAATCTTAATAAATTTTTTGAATAAAATGTAATTACCAAAGGACGTTTATTTGACTTCTTGGAAGTACCATTATTATTTGCATGATAAGAAGTGTACTCAATATTTTGTTGATTTTGAGTCTGATATTGGTGATTAGGATGATGATGAGAAGGTATATCACCATTTCTTGTTTCATCAGGATATGGATCATGAGGATGTTGGTAATATCTTGGCATTGTATCCTGCTAACAAAAACGAAAGCATCAGAAATGTTAATAAAAAATCAAAGAACAAATGCATGAAATTGAAAAAGTAATTACTGTTGATGTAGGAACGGTTTGCATAGATTGAGCAGGATCCGAAGAAGTTGATTCATCGCCTATATCAATTGAGAAGAGATTAAATAAATTTAAGGAATTTAAAGTATAACAAAAAACTAGAGTATTTAACTAACCTGATATTAACGAAGAGATAGCCATAGAATTTTTTGGTTTAGCTTTTTGCTATAACATTAATGAAATCAAAGATTAGAAAATTTGAAGATTCAAAAGAAGAAAAACCACCGAAAAGACGAGGGATCAACACCCACATTTATTTGAGGATGAATTGATTTTGTATCATCAGAGGAATGCGATAAAGAAGAAATAGCAGTAGCGGCCAATTCGACATCAGATATCTGTTGACCATTATCTTTAGAAGAGTAATGATCTCTTGATAGACCGTAATGAGGAGGAAGTTGTGATAAAAGAATTAAAGATTTACTAGCTTCATCCGCATCGGCAGAAACATCATTATTTATAAATGATGGACGATTGTTTTGTTCAAGCGAAGGGAGAGGTTGATTGTGAACAGGTTGAGGTTGCTGCTGCTGCTGGACATGGGAATAATAATTTCTTTCTTGTTCGCTCGAATAAGCGCCATAAACACCATTACTTAAACCACTGTTATTGTTTGCACTGGGGTGGTATTGTTGTTGTTGAAGAGACGCGTGTTGTTGGGCAGGGCCGTCATCAGAAAGTAAATTTCTCAGACTATGACCAGAATTTGAAGAGAGGTGATGGTCCGAGGAAGAAGTAGCAGCAGAACTATCGTTCATTAACTGAGATATCGAAGTTTTACGTGAGTTCATTTTTCTTTTAATATTGTGCGTGCACAAGCACAGAGAAATTTAATATAGATAGTTGAATAAAAAAAAAATGTTTTTACACATATATATATATATATATATAATATATATACTACTCTTAAAGTATACTTTTTTTTTTTTTTTTAAGTGTTTAAAGAAAATTTCAGAGGAAAAGTTTTTAGCATTTCAAAGACGAGAGGAATAAAAAAGTTTTCACAAGTTGAAAATACAAGTTGAAAATTTGGAGAAAGAACAACGCAAAACCCACAAGATTTTTGAATTTACAGTAAAACTAGATGTCAACTTATAAAAAAAGGTCTAACATTCTCACATAAAAAAAAAAAAAAAAGGTTTATTTAAGTCCCGTATAAATTTAAATTTAAATTGAAATAAGATAAATAATTCATATTATAAAAATTCACAATTCTAAATATTTATTTATTAGTCTAAAGTATCAAGATTAAAAAATATGAAAATGGCGTGGTATTAATCGTAAAAGTAGTCTGCAGTGTCACTGCATATATGGGCTATCTTTTGGAAACACAAGCAAAAAAAATAATCAGCAGTATAAAAGACTATGTGAACCCAGTTTAACACTTTTACTTTAAAACCACTTATGCTAATCATAGTATGTATATGTATGTAATGTATGTACGTATTTTATTATTATAATTATTATCTGCTGTACTGTATATAATTTACTATAATTTACTTAATTTACTGTACCATTTATACTTTTAACTTCTAACGTACACCGAATTTTAATAGTTTATGTTTATTCACTTTACATATTTACATACTGTAAATAAATAAATAAAAATACTTTAATAAAGTAAACAATTTAAGTAATTATCTTATGTAAAAGATATTATTAAGTATATTATATTGAACTACTGAGTATATTATTGATATATTATTATTATTGTATATTATTGTATATTATTATTATATATTATTGTATTGAGAGAATTGGTATAAAAAAAAATCGGTTCCATAAATCCATAAACCGAAGTTGCTTCATCCTCAATAGAAATGATAAAGATATTATGGCTACGTATTATTAATAGCAACATTTAACAACGAATAACTATATTAATAACGACAATAACGATAATAACTATATTAATATTGTAATTAAATACTGTAATATCAATAAGGTTTGGAACGACCATTCTTAGAAATTCACTCAGAACAAATATTGAAAAATATCGAAAAATATTGAAATATTGAAAATTATCGTAAGTGAATTCAAAAATACAATGTTAAGCTTAACTAACAACATAACAACAACAGCAGAATTTGAGGCGAATTTTCAAAAAAAAAAAAAAAAAAAAAGTAATGCAAAAAAAAAAAAGTAATGCAAAAGAAAAAGTAATGCAAAAGATTTTTATGCAGAAATTTCATACCGCACTTGAAGGCCCCGCATGAGCCGCACAAAGGAAAAAAAATTAACAGCATGCGCTTTACTACATTTCACAATCTACATTTAACGCACATTACATTATCAATCAATCATTTTTGAATGCGGAAATTACAGCAACGGGTTGCCGATTGCGGTTTAGACTCTTTAATGGTTTAAGTAATGGATGTGTGTACGATAATTACAGAATTATAGTTTAGACTCCACCGATAATGCGCGTAATTACCTTCATAATACTCCTATAGTTAACAAGCTTTAGGTAGCCTCCGAATGCTCTCTTTAAATAGCATTTTAAAAATAACCTCATCCTAAATGCGCTTGTCTCGATCGTTTCTTGATTGTGTCGTAATTTTGAAATAAATTTCTGGTTTTAGACCGTTTGTCGTTCTATAAAACAATACTGCAAATTTGTGTAAATATTTAGTGTAAATAATAAACTCTCTTTCTCCTGCACAAAACTGTGACAAAAAAAAAAAAACAAAGCAGGTTTATGGAGGGCGTCAAACTAGAATTGGATCTTTTTTTTTTTTTTTTATCAAGATTACTTACTATTCATTTCTATAAATTACAAACATAAGATGTATAACATAAGATGTATAAGATATACATGCCACACATTCTCACCGTGCATACATTACCATATTTACTCACCGTATATACTCCTGTATACACATTGCATATACTTATTGTATACACTCATTGCATATACTTACTGTATACACACTGCATATACACACTGTATACTGCATATACTGCATATGCTGCATATACTGCATATACTTACTATATACACACACACTGCATATACTCACTGTATATATTCACTGTATACGTACATTCTCCGTACCCGCACACCATATACACTCTCCGTACACACACTAACTGTACACATATAAACCAAAGACCGTGAAGATTTAAAAATAATGTGATATCACGAGTGTTACAAAGCAAAAAATAGTTAAAGAACGACAAAGTGAAAAACAGAAAAACAGTCATATTTCCCGATAAAGGAATTTGGCCCACTTGCCCCGCATATTTGTTAAAAAGATGCACCGTACTACTTTGGACCTTATTTACTGCGCCCTGTTATTTCCTTTTTCTGTTCCACAAGGTTACAACGTGCAACCCATTCTTCGTTCCAACTTTTTACATCAATGTGAGCGACGACAATGTCACCCCCTTGAGGAAATTCATTATTATCACGCGGTTATTTTCAGTTTTGATTTTTTGGTTTGTCCAACCGTTGATCCTTTTTTTTCTTGATTTCCCCCCTCTCCCCCTCAAACACTTTTTCCCTGCTTGTATTAGCGTTCGTGTGTTACCGCCATTTTTATTTATATATCTGTATATCGTTGATAAATGAATTTAAATTATGTACGTACCATGGATGTGAACTCTATTAAAAATAGGAAATAATTAATATGCGATGGTCACATGTATAACTATAATTATATACATACAATATACAATACTTACAACTGTTCATCAATATAAATAATCAACAAATATGATAATGTTCGGAAAAATCATAAATCTTGCTGCGCCCCGTGCACAAACATTCTACTTCTACTTTTCCACTTTCGTTCGATTATGTTCTCATTTCCTTTTACTATTTATATGTCGCTAAATTTGTTTTCTTTCAATTATCAATGCTTTGTATTCAATTCCTAAAATTGTTTCTGACGTTTGGTTTTACCTGTCATTTTTTTATTTCCTTCTTTATTTTTATATACAATTATCTAATTTTTTTTTCTTCTTTCTTTTTTTTTTTATCTCAATGCAACACTGCCGATACTGCAATTCTGCAATAATTTTGTTTTAGATCAGGAAATGATCTGACATCATCGACATGTTCTGCTTTTGTCAATTTCTTCCCGTAAATTAGACTTGTACCTCCTTAATCGCCTGAATCGTTTTTATTCAATGTTTATATTAAGAATTTTTCTGTTGATCGGTTCTATTTAAGGGTGATCAATTAAAGATTCTCCAAACCTTTCATTTCTAAAATCCTCTCACATCTTCCCTTTATCTTTTCTGTTAAAGTAAGTAACCACTATCAATATCTTGTACTTATGTGACTAGATCTACCTGGATTGGTGACCGGATCCTTCCTGCAAGTTCGTACGTCTGTATGACAGATAAACTGTAGGATCTGAAAAAAAAAAAAAGTTTTCTCACAAAACTGAAACTTTAATTTGCATGCATTATCCTGCATATAAATATACTGATTGTGGAACTTATTCCCGAAATGTATGAACTGGTCTTACCGCAAGTTTTTTTTAGACATAATATTCGAGATTATTTTCTCATTTAAATGCTGATCAAATAAACTATTGCAATAATGTTCAATTATTTCATTTAAATAAATTTCGTACTGTAACAGCGGAGAATATTAACAATTGTTTTAGCAATTCCCTTTTTTTATAAGAAAACTCCGCCAAATCTCACGTGATACCGTAAATTAATCATTAACGCAACTTGCATTTTATTTAAAAATTTAATTATCTTTTTTTTTTTTTTTTGTTTGCTACTACAGTTTATTTTAGTGTTTGTTTTAAATTAATTAAAAAATAATTATATTTAAAACTATAATAAATACATAAATTACTGTACAATATGTTAAAAAACATGCATGTTAAATAAAAACGATCTTAACATTCACTAGGTAGATACTGTACCTCACTAGGGGATTATTAAATTACCCGGGTTATTCAGTTATGTCATTATATGTAATGGCGACTTCTACGTACCCAAGTATTATCAATACATTGAGTAAAATTGACAGATATGCTATACATGCTATTTCTTAAAATGGTATGGGTAATAAGTAAAAGTATTTAACACTCTAAAAACCTTTTTCACTCTAAACCCAAAAAGCCTAATCTGTCTTAATCTGTAACAATAATCTAATCCGCTGTGTATTAGCAAAATAATGTGCTATTTATACATATACGGATTAGGGCATTACTTAATAATCTCTGTGACCTTAATATAGTATTTAATATTATCGTTATATCGTTATGTTGTGTAATTTTAAAATTGAGACGAAACTAAAAAATGTTATATTTGGTTCAGAAATAATGCTCATTTATTTATTATGAGGTAATTCACAGTTAAATCAGTTGATTGCTATAAAAATACTTTTCTCTCTTTTTCGATTTCAAGCATATGATTTCATATCTAAACAGTTTGTTTCCTTTTTATATACTATTTACGCCAGATATTTAATAATAATCTGTATGAAGCAAACCAAGTTCACTGATAATATAAATTTATTGAAACAAGTAATCTGACTAATAATGGACCTACATAAAAAGTTCAATTGATTAGAGCTTATTATGAATTTTCTAATAAATAATCTAGATACAACATTAATAATTAAAGAACCAAATCTATATATAGTCGACTCTGGTACAATAATTCTTTTGATAGCAAACTTTTTTAAATCAATTATTATAGAGTTTGGTATAGAATCATAGTAAATTATTCTACTAGAAAATCATGATTCGATAAAAAACAGAAGAAAAACATTTGTTAATTTTGTTCAAACTCCAAACTTAAGAAATATACTACATAATCTTAA